CAGTGATAGCAAGGAGAAGCAGAGGGGCCTAGAACATCTGCCAAGCAGACCGCCAGTTTCCCTAGTGAATAGAAAGTATAACCTCGCTCCTCTGAGCCTTGGTTTCCGCAGGACCAGCTATAGCACGAACCCTCCTAGAAGGAAATAGCTATTTCCCCAGCCCCAAAGCCCAGCCCCTACACTGCCTGCCTGCCACCCGCCTCATTTAAGGATTTGATGAGATTCCAGTCCTCGGTCACCTATGTGGTCTCCCTCTAACTGGACCCCTGAGGGAGGCCGGGGCCAACATATTTTCCATGTCATTTTTCTCGAGACCTGTCCGCCTACTTAGAGTCCGGCTGGGTGTCCAAGACCAGGCCACAATGGGAGAGGCATGGGACGGGAGAAGACGGGGTGGAGAACGCAGGGGAGAAAAGGGGCAGCTGGGAACAGAGAAGAGGCTGAAGCGAAACGCAGTGTCTGGACATGGAATCACTTTAAAAATAATAACCGAGATCCTTTTTTTCTTTTTGTAGTGTTGTACAATAGAACGTGAAGGGAGCCAACAACGAAACCAAATGTGGGCATACTCTTGATTTTCTGTTCCTCCCTCCTTCCTTTTAGCCCCTGCCCTCAACCCCCAACACACACACACACACACACACACACACACACACACACACACACACACACAGGATGAGAAAAAAAGCTCCAATTCTGCATTTTATTAGAGCCAAGAATTTTCGGAACTTCCTCATATCAAAACTTAGCAGTAGTACCATTTTCTACGGCAGAGAACAGTTAATCGGAGAACCAACTAGAAGCTAACCTGACAATTGGGCTAGAGAGCCGTGAATCTCTCAAAGTAAGTCCTTAAATGTCTGACATTGGGTGACTGAATATGCTCCTGCTCTCAGGCAACCCACGGGTATCTTCACAGGACTAACTTCCACATAGCCCCCTAATCCAGAGGACTGATGTGCCTGAAATTTTGTTTGAAAGCTCAGTGCTAAGGTATGCTACCAGCGAGACCCATATCAGCCTCCCTTTTCCCTTTGCCTGCCAGGAAACTCAATAGGCTGATTTGGCCGAGAACCACTGCATGGGTGGACCCCTCACGACCATCACAGACGTGTTATTCTTTCCCCCTAGGCTCCATTGCCTCTTCTAATTCAAGGTCTTTAGCCCTGTTTTTGTTATTGTGAGATCTTTTGACACTGTTACACAGGATTTGCTTTTTTTTTTCCTCAAAGCTTCTTCAAGGATCTCATCAAAAGAATGGATGGGGTCATTCACCACACAAAGGGAACCTGTCTTGGATGAACACTTGACTTGGGTGGAAGGTGGGTAGGGAGACTACAGGCCAATACCCTGGAGTTCTATGACTTCCTCAAATCCCAGCCCTCCAGCACAATGGCACCCCAAGGCCACTGCCTGCCTAGGTGGTCTAGGACCCGTCCAGCCAAGGCCAGGGTGCACAGAGCCACGCCCTGCTTGGTCCCCATAGCCAGGCAGCAGCCCTCAGCTCCCCCATCTCCTCCTTCCAACGAGGTGGTGACTCAGGCGCAGCAGCTTAGCAGAGCTAGCTGTGCATGCACCGTCTAGAAGTGGGGAGGGGGATGGAAGGTAGTGGTGTTAGCCATCAGTGACAGCGGGTCCCACTCATTCCCCAAGTCTATTTTAGGACTCTGAACTCAGTATGCAAATTTATGCAAGACAAGATGCAAAGCCGTGCTTCCAGCCAGAAGTCCCATTGCTTTTCTCCCCCTTTTTTTGAAACTGCACTGAACCACTGTAAATCAGTGTTCGCCTCTGCCCCCCTTTATCCTCCTGGAGCAACTGCAGATGCAAAGCCTCCCTAGCCCGCCGGCCGGCTGGCTGGCTGGCCGGCCAGCCTGTCTGCCTGTCTGCCTGCCTGCCTTCTGTCTGTCTGTCTGTGTCTGCCTGCCTGCCTGCCTGCCCTGGGACTTTGAATAACTGCACATTTCTACAGCACCTTTTTATGTACAACAGGCCAGACGGCCACTTGGGCAGCTCCGCCCCTCAGCATAATCCCCGGTATTATAAACTGCAGGGAAAGACGCAGGGAGATGCTGAGGGAGGCCCTGAATTCTGAAAGTACCCGACCTGGCCCAAACCCCTCTTCCCCAACTTTTCTCAGCACTTCTGCCCACTGCACCACCAAACACAGCCACGCACTTTTAAGGTCCAGACTTCTTGAAAATCTCAGTGTCCTCAGTGTCCCCCTCCCATTTTTCTTCCAGACCCACCCACTCCAATCCCCCAGTCTGACTCCAGGGTTTCTTTGAACCAAATCCCAGCCCATCACCCCCAGGGGATGCAGGCTTAGCACCACTGAAGTGCCCACCCCCACCCCCTGCGTCCCAGCCATCCCCAGGAAGCCAGCAACACAGCCCCTGAGTCCTGGGAACAAAGACAAAAGAGCTAACAGCAAAGCCGGAACTGCTGGGGTTTGCTGCCTCGAAATGAGTGGGTATGTTTAAAATTCTCAAAAGCAACCTGCTCAAAGAGGAATGCAGGCTGGGATGGGGGGAGGCTGACTCGTCGTCGGAGGGGGGAAGAGAAGGGATGGGAGATGCAGAGCAGCGTTCAGGGCTAAGGTCTCCTCTGGGCCATGCTCAGTCCCTGCCCCCCACCCAGCTCAGACCTCTCCATGAATGTCCCCCTCCCTGCCCCAGCCCCACGCCCTCTTCTACTCAGAAGCCTCAAAGCGTGCCACTCTTTCTTCCCAGCACCTCTGCAAGCCCAGGCTTCTCCCCACCGTGCCCCCTTCCCCCAGCCCTACTGGTGCCTCAGGCACCCTGCTCGTGATCACTTCTTTCCAATGTGCCCATAAGGCTTCCACATCGAGCTTCCAGCCCCAGCCCCCACCTTTGTGTCCCCTCTTCAGCCTGGAGCACAAGAGAAAAATGTGGAAAGCATCTGTCTGGGCTTTGGGAGAAGGCTAACGAGGCAGCTGGAACTACTGGTGGAAAGGAGTCCCATAACTAGGCAGAAAATCCACAGTGACACTCTCCCCATGAGCTCACCCCATTGTCCCCGGGCTCCCCCCCCCACCCCCACACCACAAACGCCCCCTTCAGGCTCCGGGAAGAAGTGAATGAGCAATTTCTGCATCTGTTCCCTTCGGAAGACCCTAACCTGCTTCTGGGGTTTGGGAAACAGGAGGGCTGGCTTTCAGGTTGAGAGTGAGACGTGGAAAGGGCAGAGAAGGACATGTACCACGCACTTTTTTCAAAGTCAAAATCCAAATGATTCCATGAACTTGGAGGCCTTTTGAAAAGCTCACCCCGCTGAGGACGATGTTTAGTTTGTCAGAGTTCAGCTCAAGAGACCACAGTGGACCACAGCGTGCGATGGGGTGTAGGAAGGTAGGGCTGGGGACAGGCGCCAGCAGCGAAAGGGCCTTCGCAGAATCTTTTTCCTTTTATGATGACTTTCCATGAGAAGCAGGGGGGAAGGGTTAACTTTGAGACAGGCTGGGGAGGGGAGCAAGCCGTAGGGAGAAGCAAGGGACTAGGGGTTCTGCTGGGAGGAAGCCCTAACTTGCTCTGCACTCAGTCAAAATGCGCCAGAGAAATAGAAAAAGATTTCAACTCCTACTCCTAATTCTGTTCTCTAGAACAGGAAAAAAACAATATCAGGATAGAGGAAAGGGGGCGGGGGAGTCCCTGGGGGAGAGGGCAGTTGTACAGCCACCGCAGAAGCAGAGAAGCAAGCAAGAATGTTTTCACTTTTTTTTCTTTCCTTTTCCTTCTTTCCTTCCTTCATTCCTCCCTCTCTCCCTCCCTCCGTCCCTTCCTCCTTCCTTTCTTTTCTCTCTCTCTCTCTCTCTCTCTCTCTCTCTCTCTCTCTCTCTCTCTCTTTCTTTTTTTTTCCCCCCAACTTTGAGAAACTTGGTCAGACTCGCTTGCTTTTTAAACAGCGGTAGGCAGTGGACACATTTTACCACTGTCTCCAAGAGGAAAGAAAATAATTACAGCTTCCTCCAGACCCCTGGGGCAGGCGGCTTTTGTAATTTTAAAAACATGCAAACAAACTAAAAAAGTGAGATCCTTATAGTTTAGTTATGTCCCTCAAAAAAACTTTTGGGGAAGATGAGGGCCCCTTACAAAGAACCTCAGGGTCCCCATTCTATCGGAAAAGATGGGGGTGGGGGAAGGGACACCGCGCTCCGGCAAGAGTAGCTGCGACCATCGCCCAGGCATCGTCCAGCTTCCGCCCGGGGGCCCAGACACTAAACTGAGCACCACTGCCCCCGCCCCGGGACTGCAGCCGGCGACCCGGCTTAAGTTACACTGACTCAGCTGCTAGGGTCTCTTCCTCGCCTCCCAAATGCCCCTCTTTTATTTTTCTACATAGTAGCAAGAGCCTTCCTCGTTCTCTATGTAAAACAGCAGCGTCCGTTTTTATTTTTTTCCTAAGCAACCCACCCTGCCAGGTGCCAACAAGTCCTTTCTTCCCACCGCACAATCCCAGTAGCAGGAAGGGACCCTCAACTCGCCGCTGCCTTCTCCTAGCGCCCCTCCCCTCCCCAGAGGTCCTCAGGGTCACCGGCACCCGGCACTCGGCACCCGCCACCTCCGCCCCCCAGCAGCGTCCTCCACCAGGACCTTTCCAGGACCCTTGGGTTCCTACACCCACATATCTGACCAACCCCCTCCTCCTCAGTAACCCCCCTTCCAAAATAGAAGTCAGGGTACGTTCCACCCGGGAAAACCATGATCTCAGGGGTGCCTTTCCTTTCCCCGTTTATCCGCGCAAATTAGTAGCCAGGTTCCTCCGCGCGCTCTAACTCCAGTGCCTTCCCCGGCCTGACTTTCGGGTTCCCTTCCCAATAGTCTGCCGGAGTCCGCCGGGAGCTGGACAAGGACTCCGCTCTACCTCCGCTTAAACGTTCTGAGGGCCCGCTGCACACTCCTTCTCTGCTGAAGGGCGGCCAGCCCAGCCCCCGGCCACCCTCCAAGTTTCTCGCAACTAGTTGTCCCAGCCTGCGTTACCTGCAACCTGCTCGGGGCTGGTGCCGTACTCGGCGTCGCGGCGCTTCTCGCAAGTGCCGGCGCCCAGGACCAAAGCCTGCAGAGGCAGCTCGGAGTCCGGGTGGGGATAGCAGCGCAGCCCCTGGGCGCAGCGCGGGGTGTAGACGCCGCACGCCTCGCCCTCCAGCCGGGCGCACACAGAGCAGCAGCCGCAGCCCGGCTCCCGGACCAGCTCGGCGCAGGGCGCCCCAGACACCGCTGGCTGGGTCCCGCAGGCGGCCAGGCGCTCCGGCGTGCAGGGCGGGCAGCGGAACAGCACCTCGGCGCGCACGTCCGCGCCCAGCAGCAGCAGCAGCAGCGGCGGCAGGAGCAGCGGCAGCGCGGGGCCGCCCAGTCTCGGCAGCATGTTGGCGACGGTGAGCGCGACTGCAGCGAGCAAGCGGGCAGGTGGCACGGCCCTGAGAGCGCGGGAGCCGCCTCCTGGGCTTCTTTCTCCTCCCCTGCTGCCGCAGCCGGGTCCTAAAGAGCCCTGCTTCTCCCCGCCCCCTGCCTTCTCCCCTCCCCTTTTTGGAGACCACCCCCTTCCCTTGACACTCCCGAGCGCCGGTTTGTGCGTGCGCGCACGCCCACTCGCCCACCCCCACTTCGTCACTTGCTCTGCAGGTCCGCTACTGCTCCTGGCCTCTGTCGGGCCACAGCCTTCTACCCCGGGATCCCTGGATCCTGAAGAATAAGAATCGTTTGGGGGCTTGAGTAGGATGGGCGCGGGAGCGAAGAATGGGTGCTTTTGTCTCCTGTTTTCGGTTCAATTCGCAAGGACTTAGTTTGCGCGTTTCCCATGTGGCCGGCACTGGACTCACTGCTGGGGGAATGCAAAGGAGAAAAGACGGGCTCTGGACCTGCCACCGACTCCCTCCATCCTCCGTTTCCAACCCCTCCCCCCACACACACACATATACACACACACACACACACACACACACACACACACACACACACACGCGCGCTCGCGCGCGCGCGTTGCTTGGGACAGTGAGTCCGGAGGAGGTCCATGTCCTCTAGACCAGCCTAGCCCCCAACAACTCCCCCTTGGTGACCACTGCAGTTTCCCAACCCTGCAAGCATCTGGTGACATGTAAGTACCAGAAATGCAAAGTCTGCACACAGAAACTGCTCCCTTCCTCTCTGCCTACTCCGTGCCCCCTCCCAAAAAAGTAATCACTTAGCTACCTGGACCCCCTACCCACAGATCTGGAGGCATTTGCTGCAGGAGAGATCCCAAAACACCCTGCTTCAGGGGGCTTGGAGAGGTCAGATCAGCCTACCAGGTATGTGAGAACACCCTGGAATAAGGTCATCTGTAGCTCTCCCCAGTAAGGCAGATGGACAAAGAGGGCCTCCCTTCATTGTTCTCTTTGGTGTACTGAGTCCTGCCCACGCTGTCCCCAACCCCTCAGCATTCCAGGCTGGACTTGCCTTAATTATCACCCATCTCCCTGGGTTGTGACCCTTACAAAGACCCTTGTCAGAGAGATTTTTATGGTGAGGGATGGATCATTAAGCTGTTTTCAGCCCAGGTGTAATTTCTCAGTACATCTCTGTGGACAAGGGGCTGCGTGTATGAAGGTGGCCCCATAAGATTATAATAGAGCTGAAACATTCCTATGACCTAGTAACTTTATAGCCCTTGTAATGTCATAGCCCAAACATGACTCACGTGTTCGTGGTGATGCCATTATTTTTATCCATTACTTTGGATAAAAGTAAAGCACGTACAATTCTGTACAGTACATGATACTTGATAACGGTGATAAACAACTATGTGATTGGTTTACGTATTTACTATGCTGTACTTCTTATCGTGATTTTAGAGTATACTATAAAACCATATGTGGTGTTAGGCTGCCAGCAGCCTCATCCATTTCGTGCTTACCCAGTGTCTTGGCTGCATCATTTTCTCTTGTGCTTGATTACATCTCATGTTGTTCTACACAGTAACATGCTGCACAGGCTTGTAGCCCAGGAGAAATAGGTTAAGTGCACTCTATGACGTTCCCACAGTAAAGAAATCACCTCATGATGTATTTCTCTGAACGTATCCCCATCATTAAGCTGTGCATTACTGTACCTCCATTCCACCCTTCCCTGCACCAGAGCCCTCCTTTTCAGTTCTACCTTTAGGACTCAGAGCCAGTGGCTTCAACTCAACAGCTGCTTACTCAGTGGCCTGGCCCTGAAGATGAGCTCCATGCCCAGGAAGGCAAGTTCCTGATCTTAAGAAACGAACAACATTGTAGGGCAGAGTTTAGGAAGATGAACAAATAACTGGTTGTCAGAGGCTTTGAGGAGGGGAAATATTTACATGGAGACGTGATGAGGGTTTCATGGGTAAGTCAGGCTTGACGCTGAAGCTTGGAAGTCCACCAGGAGAAATGTAGGGGTAGCAACGGCACCCCAAGCCAAGACCAGTCAAAGCAAGGACACGGAAATGGGAAAGGTGGTTGGAGAAAGGAAGTCCACTTTGGCCAGCACATGCTTGGAGGAGGGGGTGAGGAGGAGGGGAGAGACTGGCAGGAAATCCAGTTGACTTGTGTGGCGGTTTGGCTTTATTTGGCAGACAGGGGAGTACAGCATCCATGTTCGAGTAGAGGAGTGAAATAGACAGAGCTGGTTTTCTGGAAATCCCTGGAACTGTGTCTAGTGCAGATCTGACAGCAGTCAAAGGGGCCAGGCAGGCGGAGGCTGCAGGTCACTCCTCCCTGGGGTGCCCTGGCATCTTGGGCCTACTTGGTAACATTTGTTTCTGTTGGTCTCACCCCCCTAGAGTCTCAGCCCCTTCAGAGTAAGAACAGCGTCCACTGTGACACTGACCAATGGAAACCCAATGCAAACCGCAAAAAGCCACATGGGCGATTTTCAGTTTTCTAGTAGCCACATTAAAATATCATAAAAAGAAATCGATGGAACCCATTTTAATAATATACTTTATTTAACCCCACATATTCAAATTATCATTTCAATGTGCAATGAGTATTAAAAATTATTACTGAGAGATTTAATATTCCTTCTTTTGTACTAAATCCTCACACTCTGATGTGTATTTTGTGCTGACAGCACATTTCAATTTGAACTAGCCAAAATGCAAATTCTCCATGTTGGCTAGTAGCTACCAAATTGGAGAGGGCATTATTCTAAAATGTAGTGCCTGGCACCTAGTAGGCACTCAGTAAATGTGTTGAATGAATGAATGAAAAGTGCCATCTCTAAAAATACTCCCAGCAGGGCCCCTTATTCTCAGTCTGCATTACAATGCCCAGCTGCTGGGGATGAAAGGTTGTGATGAATGTATTGAGAGGACAGGAGATGAATTTTTTTCATTCATTCCGCTACTCACTTTTTGAGATTCCTTCTCCTTCCACCTTTGTTTAAAGTTCTCTATCCCTTGGCCAAGAACCCTGGAGATGAGCAGGCAAAGTGAGGCTAACTGGACCAATGCAAAGTATTCAATGAGATTTCTCTTTCTAATGAGTCTGAAGACCGCTCCCCAGTTCTTTTCTCCTAGTTCCCTGGCTAATAGTCAATTTTGCCCCACCACCACCACCACCAGCAGCCCCATATTTTTAAGTTCTTTCCTATCCACCATCAGGTTCAGAGCACTACTCCAGAAAGCATTCAATCACAGAACATCCAGCTGAAGCCTACAGAAGTAGGGGACGGAGGGGGCTTCATTTTGCTCATTACTACAGGCCCAGGGCCTAGAACAGCGCCTGGAAGACAGAGGCTAGGTAAATATTTGTTGAGTGCACCCAGGTTCTCTGCTCCTAGGCCCTGCTTTGCCCACTGTCCCTGGAGCATACCTTACTTGACATTTCTCTTGAGTCCTCTGTAAAGGATATGTCCTTAAGCCTGAGAGTCTGTCTGTGCCAGGCAGCGAGGACTCCAGTGGAGAGATGGGGACAGGCTGGAACTGGTTTTCTTCCCTCCCCCTAATCCTTGCCTTTTTCCATTTGAAAAGTGTTTCACCAACTCCACCCTCTCAAAGTTTACTGTAACTAAGTACCACCTGTACTATTGTTTACACAATATTTTTTTTAATGGACATCAATTAACTTTTGTTTTCTTTTTAACTGAAAGCTATTTTTAAAAAGAAACTGTATATCACTACCATAAATGGAAAACCTGTACGGATGGTCATATGTAGATAGCAACCATAAAAATAAACACAATGAAACAAAACAATGTTATTCATTTTGAGCTGGATACTGTTGCTTACTAAAGCCTCTGCGCCTGGCACACTCCCTGGTTAACAAAATGATCCAGTCGAAAAGAAGTAGCAGGGCAAGCCAGACCCAAGCTGAGATTCTCTCCATTAAGTCATCGGGAGAGAACTATTTTTAAAAACATTGTATTGAAATGTAATATACATGCAAAAAAGTACACATCATGAGGTGGCTGGTTAGCTCAATTGGTTAGAGCGTGGTGCTAATAACACCAAGGTTGCTGGTTCGATCCCCGCATGGGCCACTGTGAGCTGCGTCCTCCTTTAAAAAAAAAAAAAGTACATGTCATACACGTGATATGTGTTCACAATTGGCCATCCCACATAACCAGCTCCCAGAAAGAGAACAGGAACTGCTCAGAAGCCCCGTTTATGCTCACTTCCAATTATTACCTGCCCCCTCCATGGGCAACCAGGATTCTGACTTCTACTACCATGGATAAGTTTTTTTGCCTGTTTTTGCATTTCATATAAATGAAAACATACAATATGCAGCCTTCTTCTCTCTGGCTTCTTTTGTTCAGTGTTATGCTTGTGAAACTCACCCACACTCTTGCATGCCTTTATTGGTTCCTTCTCGTTTTTTTTTTGTTTTTGTTTTTGTTTTTTTAAAGATTTTTATTGGGAAATTGGGGGAAGGGGAACAGTGCTGGGGAATTGGGGGAAGAGGAACAGACAAGTTGCTGTCGTTTTGTTCTTCAATCTAGTTGTGGAGGACGCTGCTTCACCGGCCCAAGTTGGCACCATCATTGCGCTCTTCCCTGGCAAGGCAGATCAGTCACCGGCTTCCGGACGGCCGCTCACTGCGGCTGCTGGCCGCTCACGCTGGCTGCTGGTTACACACGGTAGCCCATGGCAACCCACTGCCACAGGGGCTGCAGCCTATGCGTCGCCGGCGACTCATGGCAGCCCAACTCCAGGTTGAGCTGTTGTTCAGCATCTCAGCTGTAGAGGGCAGTGTCACTGGCCCTCATATGTGGGATCCGAACCGGGGCCCTCTGGCATCCCAAGCCAGTTCTTAACCATTGCGCCACTCGGCCAGCCCTCCTTCTCGTTCTTTGGTAGTGTTCCATGGTAAGACTCCACCAGAATCTACCCATTCTGCTGTTGATGGGCATTTGGATCGTTTCTGGTTTTTTACTCTTAGGAACACAGCTGCTGTGAACCTCCCAGAACAAGTCGTTTGTGGAGCATGTTTCTGCTGAGTCTATAGCTGGAAGTGGAATGTC